GAAGTTACAGATTTAGTTCTAGATCCAACCGATAAGCATAGCCGTCAACCGAACACAGGCCTATTTTTCAAATATTGTCACCAGTGGGATTTGAACTCTAGACCTGCCACTTGGAGAGGGTGACAACTAGACCACTACACTAAGTCGCCACACCTCTCTAAAAAATTTTTTTTTAAAAAAGATATAGTTAATTAATATATATGAAGATTGTAAAGTTTTGAAAAAGTAATTTTTGAATATATTGGTCAATATTGTTGTTAAAAATAGTAGTAATGTTTTGATGTGATATTAATCTAGAAAAGTATGTTTTTGTACGTTTTGATTTAAGTATTATATTTCTTGCGAGTTCCCAACTATGTTGAGTTTGATTTTTTGAAGTCCAGATTTTAGTTATAAACTAATTAAGAAGACTATTAGAAAGATTGATGAAGAAAGATTGTGTATATTTACGAAGAAAAGAATATGCTTGATTAAATAGTTGTTGACTAACTGTATCAGAAATAATTAATAGTATTTGTAAAAAAAGTTCTGAGATATTGTTTGTATTGATGAGAAGTTGTTAAATATGTTGAGATTGTAAAGATTGATTGTTGTTAGAATTTAAATTTTCTACTGTTTGAAGTAAATAGTTTTTAAAAGTATTAGAGAGTTGCCAAAGTGAATAGTAACAATTGATAATGTGTAAAGTGTTTTCTAGTTGGTTGCATCAAGCGCAGTTTGGTATTAAATATAAATGTGGATACTATATATTAAGATTTAATATTGTTGGTAGGTTGTCAAGAATAATTTTTTATTTTTTTTTTATTTTTATTTTTTTTTTATTATACCAACTGCCAGTTAATGGCCACTTTTTATTAGAAGTTAATGATATTACATCTGTATTACAAATTTATATTTAGTATATCTGTAAATCCTCCTTTATAAGGTATAGCTATCATTCTTCGTGCTGCTGCGTAATACTACCAGACCACCCAAGTTAGGCAGTGAACCACAATGTTCTATTAGACATTCCTCGAACAACAGTTACCTGCTATAGTAGTACCATGTCTAACGGAAGATTAAGTGGGAACCCCTAATTCCTTCTATGTCCCACACATTTCCAGATTAGGTATTTGGAAATATTATGCCTTTAAACCAAAGTTAGTACTTGGGAGTTACCCCTACCTATTCCCTGCCCTTATTTGGTTCACAACAACCCCAATACCCACATTTGGACTGTCTCCTTACCCGGATTCTTTATCAGTCCCTCCCTTGCTTCCAGCCGGCAACTTGGAAGGGTCAGTCTGCCCAGGCTTTAGGTGCCCTCTCCTTGGTTCATACTTTTGGAGCATATGTCCTTTTCCTCTGGTGCGACAACCCAGCAGTTCAGCTGATGTGTTCTCCGCCAGCAGACCTGGTTGCTTGGTTCTCCGATCTTAGGCTTCGGTTCGAATTTAGCCCTTCTGTAGTACTGTCAAAGATCACTGCTACTTCCAAATTCGGAACTTGCCAAATAGGTTTTCGGTTATGCCAGTTTCTCAGATTTATTGCGCCAGAGCTCCCATTTCTAGATGGTGTGACCAAAGTTACAGATTAGATCCAACCAATAAGCATAGCCGTTAACTGAAACACAAGCCTATTTTTTCAAATATCGTCGTCCATGGAATTTGAACCCTAGGCTTGCCACTTGGAGAGGGTGACAACTAGACCACTACACTAAGTCACCACACCTCTCAAGAATAATTTTAATATGTAGAGTATATAAATTTGTATTATAATTTTGAGAATTAAGGATATTAAAGAATAGTTAAATATCAAAAGTAAAATTGGTTTGAAATTTTTTGAGTTAAAGAAAGTGATTAAGTGTATGAACAGTATAAAAAGTTTTAGGAATTAGTGTAAAAATTGTATTATTATACTATAAAAAGTAGGGTATTGAAATTAGATAGTTGTAATTTAGTTCAATTTTGGGCTAATAACAACTTTCTTTTGCTAGTCTGTCAGCATAATTATATAGAGAGTTTTGTTTTTTTGAGTGAGATTCTGTTTTGTGTATAGTGTATATAATATTTTTAATTTTAAGAAAATTATTAATAATATAAAGAAGATCTCAATTTTATTGTTTAATTTGGATTGGTTGGTCAGTTAAAAGATTTTGAAGGTTGCTTATTGTTGTATTATTGTCTATATGAATATGGAAATGTATATTACTTGGGAGTATTAGAAGTAGATAAATAATTAGTTCAATTTCTAAATGGTTGGTGTTTTGTGTATTTGCTAATGCAGAGTAGAAATTAATTTGTGTATTGTTTTCTAGAAACTAGCTAATTCCTGCTTGAATATTTAGTGATTTAGAATTTTGTATTGAAGCATCTAAGTAGAAATGTAGATTATTTGTAGGTATAGTTAGGAAAAGGTTTTGTAAGTTTATAAGTTTGGTTTTATTTTAATTTTGAAATTATAAAGAATTTAAATAAAAAAATAATTATTAAATTTGATAAGATAATTGCTAAGATATTTAAGCTTAAAGCCAAAAAAACTTTTACTTAGAAAAAATTTGTCTCTTTTCTATTGACTCCACCTCATATGTCTAGTTTAATATATTTAATAATTCTAAAAAATATAAAAAAAATTTGACAAAAAGAAGTGTAGCAACTTAGTATAGTGGTCTAGTAGCAAGTTTAGAGTTCGAATCCCACAGACAATGATATTTGAAAATTAGGTCTGTGTTTTAGTTGATAGCTAAGCTTATAGTTGGATCTAGAACTAAATCTGTAACTTTAGTTACACAATCTAGAAATAAAAGCTTTGGCGCAATAAATTTGAGAAACTGGCATGACCAAAAACCTATTTAAGAAGTCCTGAGTTGGGAGTAATGGTGATTTTTGATGGTACTACATGAAGGCTAAATTCAGACAGAGGTTTAAGATTGGAGAACTGAGTGACCAGGTTCTATGATAGAGAACACACTAGCTGAACTGCCGGGCTATCATATTAGAGAAAAAAAGCATATACTCCAAAAGTATAAACCAAAAGAAGAGCATTCTTCAGGTACCAAAAGCCTAAGCAGACCAACCCTTCTGGATTGCTAGCTGAAAGTAAGGAAAAGACTAATAAAAAGTTTTTGGGAAAGATGAAGGTTAGTAATGAGAGTACTAGGGTTGTTGTGAATTCTGCAAGAGCAGGTATAAGTAATAGGCAACTAATTAGGAAGATTATAGCTTGAAATATAGATCAGATTATGGCAGCACCCCAAAAGTTGGCTTGAGATATGAACTCAGTAATGGCAGTACAACAGGTACTAGTTAGGAAAAAATTACTAAACAAGCAAGTAAATATATATGCAGGATATGCACTACTCTGTTGGGTTTACTACAAGGATAAATGTTTTTTGTTGTTGGCTAAAGTTTTAGAGTTTTACATAGTAAATTACTCTCTATATAGAGATATATTAAGAGGAAACATGTGATGTTGGTTGAAGCCAAAGAGTTTAAATAAATAGCTTCCTAGTTAGGCTATAGGTATAACATCTAGTATAGAATCTCCAGTATAGCACTAACGCTTTGGGCAGACTACTTAATTAGGCAATCAAAAGTTGTATGTGTGACTAGTTGTACTCTTGTGATACTAATATAATATATAAAACCAAGTTAATTAACAATAGCCTATCTATTTGAACTAATAAAGTGCAAAAGATCTAAGTAGTTACCTCAATATTAAAAAAAAAAAAAAATTTTTTTGATAAAAATATAATCTAACAAAAAGCTTTCCTTAAATAATTTTACTATATATTTTATTAATTTTTAGCCTTAATATAAATGCTAATCTTAACTTTAACAAACTTTTTATAAAAATTTTCTTTATTATGTAATCAATATAATATTGTAAAGATTTTTGATTGGCTATTTGTCACATAATTTATATATTACACAATGCTAATATCTAATACATTTGGTTTAATGGATTAAACTAAAATAAACATAAACTAGATATTGGATATGTCTAATGTTCAACTCAACACTGATTTTGGTATTGCTACTAATTATAAAATACCAATTTTGCTAGTTAGTAAAAAAAATCCAATTTATTAAAAAGCACTAATTTTAACAAGTAGTAAAAGTTATCCAATTATATATATATAAATTTGAATTTTTAATTCACTTTTAATAAGAACAAGTATTATATTTCATACAAATTATTATAATAATAATAGTTTGATTTAATTTTAATATTAAATACTCAAAATTTATAATTAGTATTTACAACTTTTTCTAATAACTACCTACACCAAAATTTCAGAGAAGGAAATTTATTCTAGAGATACAAAGACATTATTCAATATAGCTTTTGGGCTTAATAAAAAAGATAAAGCATATAAAGTTACATTAGTACATCAAGTTTTAAAAAAATAGAACACAAAATATAGTTTAATCTTAGTTTCTTTGCTTTGGCATTTAACTTTTTAAAAATTTGGAGAATTGCTCTAGACCCTATAGTGTAGATTCTTATATATGATAGATATATATAAATAGGTAAACAAACAAACAACAAAGTTTTTGCTAAATATAAACAGATACAGGCATTACATTGTAATATAAATAAACAATTCAAGCATATAAGCTATAGAAGTGCTCATATGATAAATGCAGCTCAAGCAATATTCTCTGAAGTAGAATAGGAAAGAAAATTAAAGATGTACAAAAATTTATTTGCTAAACCAACAGAGAAGTTTAATACAATCAGCAAAAATAAAATTCTTAGAAAAAACAGAAGTAGCGAAGCTAGCAAGAACAGAGCTATAGCTAATAAGCTTGTTTAGAAATATAATTGAGCTATATAACTAGTTAGAATTTCTTAAGGTTAAAAACTTGGAAAAAAATAATCCAATAAAGCTAGAAGAAATACTTAGCACCAAAGAAATATTAAATAAAGAAGTGTGTAGCTGTGTAGATTACAGAATTGCAGAAAAACTAAAACTAAAACTAAAACTAAATAAACACAAACCATTAAAAGAACAGACAATGATAAACTTAAACACAACTGAAATAAGAGAAAATTCAGTATCAATTCGGGAACCTGAAGCCAAAACTACAAAAACCTTCAAGTATAAAGTTAAAAAAACTAACTTGGTTCAGAATAATAGAAATTTCACAACAAAAAAGATAAGTGCCACCAACAAGATAAATGAAGATGATAAAGTAGCAAAAGTAAAGAAAAAAGCACCAATACAAGTATGTTTTACAATATGGAATATTCTATTCAAGATGAAGGCTATAAGAATATGAAAGAGTTTGTAGTTTTATAGCTATGTAAATTTTAAGTAGTGGAAATTACTCAGTAAAAAGAAGATAGTATCCTTCAACATAACCTTCAGAAGTGAAAAAAGAAAAACATTATTAAAAAAACCTGAACAATATATTTTAAGGAAGAAAAAATGTTAAGAGTTTCAAAGGAAAACTTTATGAAATATATTATCGAAGACAGAACAGAGTACAAAGCAATAGTTAAAATATATCAAAGATAGCTCTGGAGACAATACTACTAAATCAGCTAAAAGTAGTAAATACTCAGACAGTATATATATTTTATAATAGTAATAAAAACCAAAAAGGTATAGCATTGGTATTTTTTAAAACAAAAGAAGATCTAGTTGCAGCTTTAGGCAAAAGAGTATATTATTATAATACAAAATTAGAATAGGTCAAAATCAAGAATGTAGAAAAGAAAGAAAACAATATAATACAAAATATCAATATAGCAAACCTAGAAGAAAAGCAAATACAGAAGTTAGCAAAGTTAAAAGAAAACCCATATATGCAGAAGAGAAAAACTATAAATAATAATTATAATGAAAAAGAGAACATAGACCCAAATAAGCAACAACCCAAACAAGAGAGTAGTAATAAGAAAAAACACCAAAGTCAAATAAGCTTGTAAAGAAAAGAACTTATTAAAGATTAAAGATTTACTTGCAGAGATTTTAGATAGATTGAAAAAAATTAATCTCAACAAGAAGAAGAGAGCAAACTCCAAAGAAGAAGCTTCTTTGCTAAATGCTTTTAAAAGTTGCCACAGATATTTTGAGAAAAAAAATAACAAGGCCACTATACAGGAAGTTGAGGTGAATAAGACAAGAGATAAGGTGGTAATAGTAGGGGTATATAATATAATTAGGATTAAAACAAACAAGTGCAAGCTAGATAGTATAGTAGATTTTGCAAAGGAAAAAAGAATAGATATTTTGAGTTTATGTGAAATGAATATACAGGATAAAGAGAGTATTTGGCTAGTTAATAAGAAAGATTAGTATTTAAGTTTCTAGACATTAGCAGCAGAAAAGAAGAAAAAGAGCTCAGGGGTGGTACTTCTAGTTCATAAAAGCATTAAAAAACATTTAACCAAAGTACTAAAGTAGTCACTATATATAATAGAAGCTTTGTTTATTTTTAAAGAAGAAGTGTGAGTAATTATAGTAATTTATATTTTACTGAATGACAAAGAGCTTAAAAAAAAGATCTGCCAAAAGGTTCTCAAACGAGCTGATCAAAGATTTAAGAATAAAGAAACCAAATATATAGTAATGGGTGACTTTAATATAAAGTTGAAAAAAAATAAATCATGGTAGTACTAGCAAGTCCTCAGCTATTAACAGAAAAGCTTTCATTTGGAACCTTATAGATAAAGAGTTTAAAAATATCTTTGATAAGGCAGAAGATGGCACAAATATTACTACTAAAAGAAGTGCAAAAGAAGACACAACAATAGACTACATTTGGGTTTTTAGTAACTAGTTCAATAATATAAGAAAATGCAAAGTTAAGGATATGAACCTAGTAACTGAAAGTGATCACCACATAATCATGGTATAGTTAGAGAGAATAAATCATGAGAGAACATAGAAAAAAGCTCAGAAGAAAAGAGCACAAACAAAAAAGATTTATATAAATACCAAAAATATTAAGCAATAAGACTAGAAGAACTTTGCAAAAAAGTTAGAAACAATCATGTTGAATTAGGAATTAAAATGGTGAGAAAGTCTAGAAAAATCTATTAGCAAGTTAAGAGAAGAAGAAAATCAAGAAGTGCTAGATAGAAAGTAGGATATTATTGAAAGAACAATAAGTATAAGCGCTAATAAAGCTTTTTCTAAGATTAAACCTACTATAAAAAAAAACAAAGAAAAACAATATAGCATCTCTAACAATTAAAGAAAATATTTAGCAAATTAAATAAGTTGTGCAGAAAAGCCAAAAAAAATATCGAAAAAGCAATAATTGAAGATTTGATTATAGCTTTAAAAAAGCTAAATATAGATATCAAGACTGAACTAAAAGAAAGCCTAATTACTTAGAGCAATATGTGGATACAAGATATATATAAACAGCTAGAGCAAATAGCAAATATTGCAAAAAAGATATGAGGCAAACCCAAAATTGCAAAAGAGAAAGTGATTATAAAAAAAAGAATAGAAGAAAAATATAAAAATATTACTGCAAATCAAAAAAAATATGCTAAATATAGTCTTCCTCCTATATAATCACCCAGTTTGTCTAACACTTTTGGGTGATTATGTAGAGAGGTGACTAAATAGAAGCACCTCTATATAATCACATAATATACAATAATATATATAATGTGATTTTAAAAAGGTAAAA